GTCAACAATGCGCGTTGCGAGTTTGCGGGATCGGGTACAGGTAGGGTTAAATATCTTATGGCATATCAATATAATATCAAATCATGTCCCCTTAATTCGATTTTCTGCCTCGTTAATTCGGGGGTGACATCCTGATGCTGACTTAAATAATACTTATACTTATACCGTACCAGTAGTACCGCACAAGGCGGTGGCGGAAGTTTCAAAAATAGGAAACCTATAGGAGAGTTTGGTTGTTGTCAATCAGGGATGGCAGAGCGAAGCCACTGGTGGACTAAAAGATGGTTGATCTCTCTCACTCTTTCTCTCTCTTTCTCTGACTATCTACCTACCTACCTACCGATCTATCTATGTATCTATCTATCTCTCTCTCTCTCTCTCATCTAATTACCTATCTTATCTGTCTATGAAAAATCTATCTATCTGTCTACCGTATACCTGTCTATCTGTGGTGCAGTGTCATTTAGTGTAACATAGTGTAGTGTAATGTAGCGTGGTGTAGTGGAGTGTAGTGGAATGTAGTGTTGTGTAGTGCAATTTAGTGTAGTGGAGTGTAATGTAGTGCAGCGTAGTGTAATTTAGTGTAGCGGAGTGTAGTGGAGTGTAGTTGTAGTTGTAGTTGTAGTGGGGTGTAGTGTAGTGTAATGTAGTGAAGCGTAGTGGAAAGTAGTGTAGTTGTAGCTGTAGTGGAGTGTAGTGAAGTGTAGTAGAAGGTAGCGTAGTGTAGTGTAATGTAGTGTAGTGTAGTGGAAGGTAGTGTCGGTAGTGTAGTGCAATGTAAGTAAGTGTAGTGGAGTGTAGTGGAGTGTAGTTGTGTAGTTGTAGTGGAGTGCAATGTAGTGTAATGTAGTGTAATGTAGTGTAATGTAGTGAAGTGTAGTGGAAGGTAGTGTAGTGTAGTGTAATGTAATGTAGTGTAGTGGAGTGCAGTGTAGTGTAATGTAATGTAGGGTAATTTAGTGTAGCGGAGTGTACTGGAGTGTAGTGGACTGTAGTTGAGTAGTTGTGTTGTGAAGTGTAGTGTAATGTAATGTAGTGTAATTGTAATGTAGTGTAGTGCAGCGTAGTGTAGTGCAATGTAGTGTAGTCGAGTGAAGCGAAGCAACATCTGAACCGCCAAAAGTGGTCCGAAACCCTAGTGTTTTTAACATTTTAACTTCCAAATATGCTTCGCGACACAACGGCGTGCACTTTTTCGAAACTCGACATCTGAGCCTTCAAAAGGGTCCGAACCCCTAGTCTTTTATACATTTTGACTTCCAAATGTGCTTCGAGCCACAATGGCGTGCACTTTTTCGAAACTCGACATCTGAGCCTCCAAAAGTGGTCCGAACCCCTGGTGTTTTGTACAATTTGACTTCCATATGTGCTTCTCGCCACAACGGCGTGCACTTTTTCATCTCTCATCTCTCCAGATGGCTCCGCACCCGCCGCTTTAGCAAGCCTACTTTTCGACCCTCCTGAGCCACAAATCAGTGGAAAAACACGTGAATCGCGACTTTCCTACCTTTTCGCGCATCTGCATCTTCTTTCTTCTGACTCTTTCTCTTCTGATCTTCTCTCTTCTAATCTTTCTCTTCTCTCTGCCTCTGCCCTGCACTGCTTTTCATCTGTCCATATTGTCGGAAGTTTGACTTCTAAACTTCCTTCGATGATCACATATCCCCTCTCTCAGTTTAGATTGGGATATCAAGTCTGAAAAAAGTTCATGCCGGTAAGTTCAAAATTTGGGACAGCAAATTTGTGATGTACTCCAAGATATTGAAAAGCCAAGTCTTGAAAAATATATCAACCCAAATTATCCAAAGATCCCATATCACCAATTTCAGGCTTGGAAGCAACACACCTGGGAGGCAGAATCTTGCAATGCAATATTTCCAGCAAAGAACCGCTGATGCAAATCTCAGACCCCAAATCATCGGAAATTGTTGACATCCAAAATTGCTGCGTTCAGCAAGGTGTCAAGCCCTGTGAAGTCTACGGTCTACCCTAACAATAGGCACTGTATTCCTTAGGCCTTTGGCACCACAGTAGCCTGGAGTCCTATGGGCATCCCATGGCATCCCCAAACAGAGCTTCTAGGCATCTCAGCTCTTGCGCTTCTTCTCTTTCTTGCCCTCCTCGTCTTTGTCCTTCTTGTCCTTCTTTCGCTTCTTATCTTTCGGATTCTTGCTCTTTGCGTCGCCTTTGGACGTGTCATCCGGCTTCTTCTTGGCATCCTCAATGGCCTTGGCGGTCATTGTTTTCAATTTGCCTGGCAAACCGTCAAGCGTGGTGCCATACATTGTGTAGCAATGCTCCATGATGGTATTCACATCCAAGTGCGGATCCTCTTTGTTCAGGAACAGGCCTGAAACCATGACAGTACCTGCAACACTGCGTACTTGGTGAAGGTTCTTCCTCATCACCGTGGTAAAGTCGATGATTTCCTTGATGGAATTCTTGACCTTGGCATGGCTCGATCTGAGTGACAAGAAGGGCCTGGAATCCACAAGGAACGTCTGACCAGCCGTAATGGCCACATGTAACTTCTCAAACCTTCTCTTGGTCTCATCACCTTGATGCACCCACTGGAAACTCTCCATGCGCCAGTCTCCGGCAGCTTCTGAAACTTCCGAAAACTTGTTCACAAATTCCTCAATAACCTTCAAGGACGAAGTTTGAAGGTTTGTGAGTGCCTGCAAGATGGCACTGGCAAACTTGTCTGTGAAAGCTTCGCAGGGATCTTTGAGGTGAGCCAAAGACTTGTCTTCGGTGACCGCGCTTGCTGCCACACCGGCACATGTTTCAAACAAAGGCAAGTGTGAGGTGAACAGCTTGAAGTCGTTGGGGGATTCATCGAGGCTCTTCATTTCTTTCTCCAAGTTGCCGACTGAAGGCAAAATCATAGCAATCGGCCTCCATTCCGGCAAAAGGATCTTGTCCACCTCCCATTTTTCCTTGGGCTTGTCCAGAATGAGCTTGATCCCATGACACGTGCACTGCAAAGACAAAGAGGCAGCGAAAGCGCCAAGGGACGCCAAGGCAACCTCCTCTGCAGAACCTGCTTCCAACCGCTTGACTTCCTTCTGCACAAGAGCCGAAAGAGCGCAGCTGTAGACCATAAAAGCCTTGACTGTCTCGTACTCGTTGTCCTCCATCGGCTCGTCAAAGTCATTGACCAAGGATTGCCAGCCGACCATGACGCGTGACACAGGGTCAGGCTTCAAGTTTGGAAAGGGAACTTCGTACTCTGCCAGCAATTTGCCTTGGATGGGGACTTTAAAAAAGAAAATAAGTGGTGTGTGTGTGTGTGTCTGTGCCCAAAGTGCAAATCCAAGGCTTGAGGCCCAAAGAAATGGAGACATAAAACCAATTTTGGATTACTAGCTGCAAAGAGACACAAAATAATCATGAGCGCAAGCCGGAGGCGAAGTTTCAAAAGGGTGGGAGGAAACGAGGTTTCTATAGAGGACAGGTGTTTCAGGACATGCTCCTGCCGGATGCAAAATCCTGATCCTCAAACAAGATGCATCTCAGCATGAAACCAAAGCCTGCACTTTGGGCTAAGGTTGTCAGCAGCTAATAAAATGACATGGCCCAGTGCCACTGCAAATGAACATGCCGTGCCTCCACGCAAAAATGCAAACATCACATCGCCATACATCACTAAGAACATGCGGTGGCTTACAACAGAAAGGGCGAACCAGGGGTATGTCAAACATCACAATGTGAATTGTCACTGTGCGTGTCCATAATCGGAAGTTCTCAAGCTTGAGCCTAGCTTGGACAAGATGCATCTCAGCATGAAGCCTGCACTCGTCTCTGTTGGAAGCATTGGGCTTTCAAAGGGCCTAAGGTGTCAACAACCAACGGTATGACACTGACAACTAACTAACTGACTGCTAACTGACAGTGAATGACATCATATCAACTCAATTTATCATCATCATACATACCATTGTGATGGACCATACAGTATATGAAAAACAGAATAATCAGAGACAGTGAAATAGTCAGTAACATGGTATGCCCAGATGTCAAACCGACTTGTGAAACCAAAGAATCTGATAATCACACCACCATGTTGCATGATTGTAAGGTATCATTTGGTCTGCACTATATGCAGCGTATGATACTGCTCATGATTCATGATGGAAAAATCGCAAATGGCAACTTACTACACAGACTATACATTCAAATGTCAAATGTACCAGCAGCCGAGTCAATATGTGAAACATGTATAAGCAGAACACGCCTTGGCTGCAGCGTCCCACAGTAGAAAAGGCTTGCAAAATAAACAATCAGAAAGTTGCTTGTCACACACAGAGCTCACCGACCGTTCTGCGTCTGGAATGCGGCGTTCCGTCGCAAAGCATCGAATGTGATCAATCTCTGCCTTGTAATCGGGTGCCAAAGTGTTTTGAACCCACGCCTCCATCTTGACGAGTGTGTCCTGGAGATCCTTTGCTACCTCCTCGGAATCTTCGAGCGTTCCAGACTTCAACTTCGTGAGAACACTGGGGAGTTCATGAAGCAACGCCCTGACATTGTCCATGTCGTACGCAAGAGACTCCGGCAAAGACAAAGTGCACATCTCCTTCAGCTTCAAGCTGGTGTCCTTCCCCGCCTGCAAATTCGCAGGCAAGAGGGCCACCTCCAGGCGCACGTTGGTAACCTTCTGCCAGAGTGACCTGCCATAACAATCCGTTGAGATTTACTCCCTTTCCTACACAAAAAGCGTCCAACACTTCCAGGAACACTTTTTTGTCAGGTGTTGACCTCTCTCTGTATCCAGCCCTCAATGACTCTCAAAACGGCATGACCTTGCTTGAAAAAAAAAATCAACCAGATCAGCCGCAAGCGATTCACGATGAAGTAAAACCAAACAACATGTGTGCAATGCCCTTTGGACAAGAAAACTGTAAACTACATACTATAGACTATAGATGATATTGCCATCAGTAGCACCACAATGCCCCAGGCTGATCTGAAACTTGAGCTTTCTCATATCAGTTGAACTAGTTGCGCAGTTCCTCCGCAACATTGCCACAGCTCGCCCTTCTACGTGGGTCATAGTGAATTAACTCCGCCACATGTTTCTGCGTGGAGGGACTCAGGTTATTGATGGCTCCCTGCAATTTTGTCAAGTGGGGGCCGCCCGCTAGCCCAAAGCTGAGCTCACGAGCAAAAGATCTGATCTTCTCCGCGATGGCTACCTTGCTACGTCCATCGAAGAAACGGGTTCTGGTGGATGCTTCCAGCATAGTGAGAGCAGCTGCCCATGAGTCGGCTTTCACAGTCAGAACAGGCGCCAGCTCACCCTGTTCCTGAGTTTGCAGAGGTCGTGCCCATGACGTCTGCAATGGAAATTCGAGAACTCCCAAAAGAAGCACATAGATAGGGATGGGATGCATATGAAAACAAAGCATGACAAAAAGAGTTTCCCTTGATGCAGAAGGTGAACGAACTACGGCCCATACATACATAGTACAGTATAGGCTATAGGTTATTGTACAAATAACGTTATTATTATTGCAATAATATGATAGCTATGTTTCGATGATAGAAAAATATACTTGTACATAAACAGTCCTAGTCCACATATAAAAAAAGTAATATCAACACTAAAACCGATAAAATAATCAGTTTTAGACTTTCATCACCAATGTCCGGAACATTGTGAAAAGGGGAAACGTGTAGCACAACAGCGTTGGTGTACCAAATGCTCTACTTGTGCAAGTGCAAATGTGTCTAAAATACAAAATAGAATAAAATCGAAACATCAGACCATCGATTCCACACATGTGAATATGCTGCCTGTCCATGGAGTGGTAGCCAGGGTCAAAGTGGATTCTGCAAATCACAAACATAAGAGGAGTAAAACGGAATCACAATGACAACTGCTTCAGCACCAAGTTTCAATCAACTCGGGCGGTCGAAATGCCAAAGTGTAGACGCTCTCAGTCGTTTGGCCACGTGGGGTAGGCAGGACCACAGCAATCCCGAAGTCGATGATGTAGAAGTGCTCCGTCCCTGGGTTGTAAACGATATTGCCAGGTTTAATGTCGGCATGAACGACACCGCGGTCATGGAGAAAACCAAGTCCATCCATCAATTGATTGAACAGGGCGTCTTGGGAGCCATGGGCAAACTGGTTTTCGCTCCTCAAGTATGCAAACAAATTCGTGGGAAGCAGGGGCATGATGTACCAAGACAGCCCACCATCTTCCACATGGCTGCACAAAACTGGCAAAATCGCTTCGTGCGAGATGCCCTTCAAGATTTGAATCTCGCGATCCAATGAAGCCAGGACAGGCTCCACTTTCGCGGCATACCTTCTCCGAGAGTGTACATGCTCAACGACATACACTGCCCCAAACGACCCCTGACCTTTTGCAGGCCCAACGATTTTGAAACTGGTCCCCAACATGTTTGTGCCAGGTGTGTTCTGTAAGGCAATCCCAATCTTTCCAGAATCAACACGGTTGCTGTCCTCCAAACCCTGTCGCTGAACAGGTCTAATCCTAACACCGGCTTTCAAGCAGCTCTCCCGCTGCTTTTTGAATGCCTCTGTGGACTCCTTGCAAAACTCTGCTTTCTGGAACGCAGGCATTGTTTTCCAGATTTTGCCTCAGCAAAGGCGGCGAAGATGTGGAAAAGAAACAGTCTCAGTGTGAAAGTTGGATTGAGGGATGTGATGTGACTCACCCCGGAAAACAAAATACAAGGCACACGCTATGGATCCTATCGCTTGGGAAGAGCATCAGCCCGGTATATATATAATCAAAGAAATTGCTCAATCAGGAATGAAAAAAGTAAAGCCAAAATTACGGGTTTCAGAATGATGCGCACTCCATCCTACACAGTGCAGGCTGAACAGTTAAATCTGCCCGAATTAAGATCCAAGAACATTGCTTTTGTATCCTAATGGTTCTTTGCCTATGGGGTGGTGGAATGTTTCGACCCATAAACAAACCAATCTTTTGAATTGCAATTTGAAAACGTCGACATTCACGTTGAAGATGGACCAGGTGGCTACAAAACAGCTGAACCACAACCAATGTCGCAAACCGGATTCTCATCGCACGAACAAATGATATATGATAAATGTTTGAAGGAGTCACACTGACACTATCATATCATCATTCCCGGTTCTGTCAAGTAAGGCTAAAGAGACACTACCCCGGCTGAACCAACACCCACAAACAACAACCAAACCAGCAAACAAACCTGCTGCCAAAGTACTACCTGCAGATATGGTGTTTCCCGTCTTTTTCAAAAACAAAGCAAAGGGCTTTGTTGCCTTCGGCACTAGACCAACAGCCTTGGCCCGTTGCAGCATAGTGGGTTTCGGTTTCCGACCCGTTTTTTTGGACGCTTTTCCCTTGACCACCTTGGAGGCGACTTTTCTCTGCTCCATTGGCTTTGAAGCAGCCGCGTCAACCCCAAACTCTGCCTTGTCTTCATTGCTGAAATCGGCAAGAAGGGGCCCAGGCGACTGTGGAGAAACTGGTGACGGGAGATCTGGTGAAACTTGTTCTTTGGGTACCTCCTTCTTCTCATTCTCTAAGGGGGAAAGCCTAGACTGTGAACCAGCATATTTTTCTGGCTGTTTCCCGGTAAGTCGAAGCTTCAGCTTTGACACATCTACCATGGCATGAAACCAAGCGCGGCACCAACCTGCAAAAAAGAAATGCACGTTGTGCGCATGCGGTTTCTGATATGAACGAATAGATAGATAGCAACAAATACTTTACCATGTAACCTGACTGTAGGCTGTATGGCTCGTGCAAACAGTATAGAGTCAACAATCTTGATGCTGATGCAGCTGTCAAAACTATGGAGCCTTGAGCCATCCCAATGGCCTCCTAAGATCGACTTCGGTCTTTCATTGACAAACAAAACCAACATGATTTACCCGTTTCCAGGCAATAAAACCCCAATCAATGAGATATACAAAAATGACAAAGACCCCTTCTCAATGCTGCGCATGCTGCAACCCATGATACCCTCCCATAAGCACACCTCCACTCGGAGTTCGCAGACATTGCCACTGTGATCTTCGATGAGAAGCTTGTGCATGCAGCCACCGCTGCAACATATCGATGGTCCAGGGACTTGCCGGAAGCACCATGAACTTCAATGCAAGCAAATAGCTTCTGAAGGTCGACCATCAGGGCAGAAGCGAAGCCGGAAGCATTTTGGAAGCTGGAGATCTCAGCAACGTCATCAGGTCCAGGAAGCCTTGGAAAAACAATTCATTACATTGGCGCAAAGACTGACTTTGCAGCAGTGGAAATCCAGCAAACCAAAAGAATTGTCGACAGAGATATTGCAATCGCCTACTCACCTACAATGTCACTGGTACGGTACATGACAGCAAAAGGAATGAAACGTAGTCCGTGCCTTTGTCAGTGCCTGGTCCATCATGTGAATTTGACTTATTTGGAATGTGCATGCTAGAACTCAAACCCAAATGGGGGGCAGCATAAATCAATCAGAAAAAGGTCCAAGAGTCCATTTCTTTGCATCCATGAAATCAACGGAACGCAGCTGGCTAGGAATGGATTTGATGGCAGCTTCAACTGTCATGGTGCGAAGCTGGTCAACCCAATCCAACACTGCGCTCACCTGTGCTTTCAACAGCAGCTTCCAAACTGTCTGCACCTTCTCAGCTTCACAAGGGATGGCAAGAAAACGCTCAAGTCGTAGTGCAGGTGGGCTGTCATCACTTGACCGTGTCAGTGTCAGGAAATCAAAGAAGGCACCGCCAGCCTTGGAACAGGAGAACATATATTATAATATAATATATAATATAAATATATATTTATATGATAGATACAATTTATATATAAATATAAATATATATAATATATTGTTATTGTTATTTATTATATACTTAAACTTATACTTATATATATATATATAAATAATAAATGCAAATATTTAATATAGTCATAGTTTAAATTTATATGATAGATAGATGATAGATATATGATACATATTCATATATAATATCAAGAGGAGGGGATTGGGAGATGCGTAGCTTGCACAGACGAAAACAATCTTTTCTTTACAGGCATCCTTTGAGGAACCAAGTTTGGTTGAATAAACTTGAGACAAGCCAGCAAAAAGCAAAACACATAATGACAGAACAAAATTCAATGAACCAACTAGACTATAGTATCGTAGGGCCTAAAGCCTTCATTGCTGGCAGTGTCATGTTCTTAAAGTGCCTGGGCACTTCGTGCAGCTTGCGCGCAATGAACTGGAACATGTCCGTCAGGGTGCTAGGATCGGAGAAGAGCAGTCTTTTGGCCACCAAGAAATCGTCAGCTGCAAGTAGCTGAAAGAGCGGGCTAGCCCCCGAAACCTCTGCTGCAAGTGCCGCTGGCTTCAAGCTTCGAACCACCCGGCAAAACTCTTTGAGGTTCATAACCAACTTCGCTTCAGTCTTGACCTCTGAGATTGTGACCTTTGCTTCCTTCTTCATGTCCTAAAATGGCTATGGCCATGGCCATGGGCCATAGGTATGAAATACACATTTATACAGTAGTAGTAGTAGTAGTAGTAGTAGTAGTAGTAGTAGTAGTAGTAGTAGTAGTAGTAGTAGTAGTAGTAGTAGTAGTAGTAGTAGTAGTATTTACAATATTTGGAACTTACATTGGATTCCATAAGCCAAGGGATCAAGCCTGGGGGCAATTGCTGTTGAGGAATCTTACACAGCGGGTGGGTTCGCGCGCCAAACTGCCCCGTTGTCTATACCCTAGTTGGCGCGCGAACCCATCGACAAAAAAGTGTAAAGTGCATCCACTTTCTGAGCTGGGAAAGAAATGGCAAATAATAACAATCGAGTATCTTCCGGAACTTCAGGGGAATCCAGGTGGGAGTCAATTGCACTGATCACCGAAGACTCTTTGACCAACCTGCGGTCCACTTCGTGGGCCCGAACGCAGGAACGCCAAAGAGTATCTGGCCGAAGCTCCACAAGAGACTGCATATATTTCTCAGCGGCCTCCAAGCCCTGCCTCAACTTTTCTGCGGACTGATTCTTCTGCGGTGTCTTCTTGCGGAGACGATTTGTAGGAGGCTTCGCCTCCCCCACAGACTCCTTCTTGGCTGAAGACGGCAAGGACTTTCGCTTGGCCTGTGCTTTAGCAGCTGGCCGTTTGCGTTTTGGTTCGCTGTCAGACTCGTTCACTCCAAAGCTGGACTTCGAAGATTTCGAAGAATCGCTGTCGCTGGAACTGGAGTTGTCGTCGGAGCCACTCTGCTCAGCCAAGTCGGTCTCTTTCTGGGCTCTTTCCATCTCTTCCTGAAGTGAAGCTGGACACACTAAGAAAAACCTGCCAAAACACAACTTCAGTTCTTCCTCACTGTCCATCTCTGTCATGTACCTACGTACTTAAGAATAGGTTTCCCGTGACCTTTCTGAAACCCATGGGTATGCCACGTGATGACCTTGCTAAGTATACAGCACAGTACAGTATACAGTAGTGAGTGACCAGTGACATATTCATATGATTCATATTGATATCAAAACTAAGAGAACATTTACATATACAGAAATAATTTGGAATAGGGTCAAGTAGTTGCTATTACTACGTTTAATATATCGGGACCTACGTGCCAGGGGTTGAGAAACATTGAAAACCACTGACTGACCACAAGTGGGCAAGATAAGAGTGAACCAAAAAACAACACACACACACGATAAATTTGATTCCGAGAATCCTTTGTGTTGCCTTTCACTGCCACTCCTTCGGCAGCCTTTGAGAAAGCTTCCTTCGAACTCGCCTTGTCCTCAAACTGTTGTTCCTTGCTCCGAGCGGCGCTCACGCGATGCCCTGTCAGCATCAACGTCTTCATTGGAACTGGGACCGCGTAGTTGCCAGTCCGAGGGTCCTTCTGGACTGCGAGCTTCAACTCACGCGTGATGTAAGTCTTTCGCTCCTTCTCCGTCTTGAACTTTCGCTTGGTCTTGTGGTGCGTTGTCAAGTAGGTGGAAAGGCTCACAAGCTCATTGACCTGACAGCGGACATCGTCAGAATTAAGGCAAGATATAAAGGTTCAATGGTTTACCAAAAACAAAGCAATCTTTGTGGAACCAACCAAAATTCAATTTGTTTCTGGACGCAGGATCCATATCCATGTAATATACAGAATTATACAAACCAAGGATTTCCTGCTGTACTTACAGTAGTAGTGGCAAGAAGATCTAATTGGTGGATCCGGAAAAATGTGAAGAAAGGCGATTCTCTATAGATGATACCAAATTTCCTTTGCCAAACCGAGAGAAAAATTTACAAATAGATGGACCAATGGGTGGATGCATAAATAGATTGATAGATACGAAAAATCAGGTCAATCGATAGATAGACAATAGATAACCAATGTGGCTCAGGATATTGCAGGATAGATAAACAGGTTCCCTTTTGGACTGGCCATGAATGGGGCCCCTGAAAGTCACCTCCAAAATCTTGTATGCCGCATGCCTGATATGTGCTTTCATTTTGTGAAACAGGGAATGAATAAGCATAAATAAACACAGTACAGGAGCCAAAAAAAAAATGTGCACATGATTGATAGATAGTGAATGTTTCTCTTTTTGAAGCTAGATATAGCTAGATCGATTTTGGGAAAACATAGTAATCTCCAACGAAAAATATCAACATAGATAGACAATAGAGAAATAGATAATAGATGGACCATAAGGAAAACATATTTTGTACACGTACATCATCTAAATATAAAATAATATATCAACCAAAACATCAATATAGCATGTGTTCTTTAAATGTTGATCGAATCACCAAACACTGTGACGCTCCATGCGAACTTTCCAACAACTGTTGGAGAAATGCACGCTCCACCAGCAAAATTGTAGCACACTCTCCTACTTCGTCCTACCCTTCTGTAGAAAATTACCTCGTCGAGTCATGTCGAGTCCCTTCCCCCACATGACCCTGAAAGTCAACATAGTCTTCTTCACTTTTCTTGATGAGCTCAGCCAGCTTGACCCTCTCGTGTCTGAATCTTTTCCCTGGCTGGAGACAGCTGTCCCGAACTTTGGCCTTTCGAAGAGCTAAGAACCTTGGTAGTGGAGTGGAGCAGAAGCAACCCACATGAAAATGGTGACAGCTTTGGGATTTAGATGTTCAAAAGCGGAATGGCTGGAAAATTTTGAAGTTTCATCACTTGACTTGATGGCCCTGCTGAAACACGCCACTCTGGACATTTTGATTCCTGTATTCCAACGTGTCGAACATGTCATAACATAATTGTCATAGAGTCATACATGTGAACATGAACCTGGTGGAACTGGAAACCTTATCAGATTTGGCCAAGGTGCTTTGCCTCCACAGGTGGGTGCTCCTTTTTCGACTTTTCCAGCTCTTGCTGACTCACTTTGGGAAAGGATCCACGCTGGGTGTAAAAGCATGCCGAACATATGCTTGCTGAACTTTTGGGCCGTGTCACCAAAACATCATCATGTCCGTCCGGCGCGTCCTCTATCGCTAAATCTTTGGCGCAAGTAACAGGGTGACTCATCGAAATATATAAATATAACAGGTCTCCAGAAATCCCTTGTTGCAACATGATGAAATTATAAACTGGTCTTTATTTTGAAGCCACCGACCCTGTTACAAACCCTGAAAGGACACAAAAACACAAACCGCAAACCCCATAAAATTCACTCCTTGTCTGGCTGTCCGAACTTCTGGTAACAATGGCGGCAGGGAGCTGAAGCATCATCACCTGCACCCTCACATTGAGACTCAGGCTCATTGTCTGAGTCCACCGCTGCCATCACAGCGATCGAAGGAAAATCCCAGTCGGGCTCGGCACCGCCCCACTTTTCTGAAATACCTTGACCAAAAACCTAGAAAATGTAAACATCGCACTGAACTGATGGAAGCTGAACTCCAAGGGAAAGAATTGAGCTGTGCTCTGAAACCGTTTGTTTTGGTCGGATGATTCTTCACATACTTACTAAACGGCTCCTGTATTGTCTTTGCCAACATAATGAGCGCCCCAACACGTAGGACTCAGGACACGTTTTTTCCGCCAACGATATGTCAGCTCTACAGCCAAAAGTGCAGAGGACGCTGCGATGTCCTTGGATACACAGGCTGAAGGAGAAAAGCAGGCAGTTCACAGGAAATGGCAAAGCAAGGTAGGGCGGGGAATTCCCTGGGTAGGAAAGATGAGGTGCAAGGATCCGGGCAGAAAAGTATTGTTTTGAATTTCGAAAAGTCGAAAGAGTCGAAAAGTAAGAAGAGGTATATTTTAATTTCGAAAAGGAGGTCCCCAAAAAGTCGGAAAGCCTCCCCAATATAAAAGCCATCTTCTTTTATTACCCCTGACGTCTCCCTCAACCTCTCTCAACTCTCCTTGATAAATCCCAGCTTTTCTTCTCTGGAACCAGGGGCTTTGGTTCTTTTCTCCGCAAAAGCTTGCAAATGGTGTCTGACTCTTAAAAAAAGACACGACAAACACTTAACCATTGAGAGTCGAGAGGAAAAAAGAAAAGTCGAAAAGTCGAAAGTCGAAAAGTATACTTTTTGACTTTTCATCTTTTGACTTTTTGAATTTTTACCGGATGCCTTTCCAGCCGAGCATGCGCACTTCCTTTTCCAGCTTAGGGAACTCCTGAATATGCTTGACTTGCCACTCCATCCTCTTCTCTGCAACACTTTTCCAATCTCAATGTCAATATATTTACATATATAGACTACAGATATATAATTATATGATTAATTAATTATATATAATACACCCCCTAAAAGTAGATGGTTCAGAATCTTGAGTTGCGCCATCTATGTCAAACAAAAATAATGGTGGATAGATGGCTCAATTCCCTTTTTAAAACAGGTCAGTTGATCCATCTATGTCCTTAAAATGACATAGTTTTGCAATCTTCTGCGCTGGTTTCCCCCCATATTTTTTACTCCGCCCATTCGCCCAAATCAGGCTGGGAATGCCCACATAGATGGCGCAACTCCCTCATATCTCCCTATATATATCTACCAATATAAGGTTCCATGAAGTCTCTGGAAACCATTTTCGGGAAGAGAAACGCCAAAAATCTGAACCCTCCGCGAAGGGCTCAGATTTTGATCGGTTTTGGCCCAGTAAAACCCTGAAAGAGCACCCAGAGACCTCCATGGAAGCCTGATGGGGGTCATACATAGGCCCTGACATTGCACCTCAAAAAACCTTCAACAACATCTTCTTGGTTGGAGGTTTTTTCTCACCTCCCCGAGACCTCCATAGAACCCCAGACCTGGGCCTATTTTGGGCCATGTTCGACCATCTGGGCAGCTTATGGTGGGCTAAACAAGCAAAAATGATCGGAAATGTAGTAAACTTAGTTAACAATACCCTTATCTCCATCTACTGGAGTGGCAGTTGCGCCATCTACCTTCTCATTTTAAAGTAAGGTGATTTTTCTTCAATTGGCGGAACTCGTTTTATGTTCCAGCTAAAAAAGCGCCGTTTTCTTTCTCACCGCGCGGTGCCATATTATGGGTATTTTGGTTTTTGAGTTGAGCCATCTACTTTCAGGTCGGTGTAATTATATAGATATAGGTCAATAAAAAAATACGCTATACTCTTAAACTGATACCCAGATCCCACCTCTCTGACACACTATGGTATGGAATGCACGTGAATGCACGAGACGGTGATTGACAAAGACATGAAGTCAATTGAAACATCGTGAAATGATATGTGTTTGAGATGTATACACTATACATAAAAACCAATGGAACAAATAATGCCAATCAATCCTGCATTATCGGAGAGGGCTGGTTGCTGCCATGGTGCTTTGATCACCTCTCACATCGCGGCAGCGCGCCAGCAACACTCTAGGGGGTCTCACCATCTTCTGCGCTGCTGCTGCTGCTGCCAGAGTCCATTGCCTGACAGGAAAGCAGCAATCTTTGGAGAACTGGAACATTAGTCAAAAAAGCGCGCTTACATACTCTGCTATATCTGAATCATCTGCATCGCCGCTTGAGGAGTACTGTGCAGTACAAGATAGTCTAGTATATCACATCATTTCATATCAATATATGATTATATTATGTTATAAGAGTATGGCCGTATGGTACTATATTGTATTATATTGTGTTATGCTATATCATTATTCTATTCTATTCTAATTATACTATATTATATTGTATTATATTACAGTATGTTATATAAAATCAACTTACAGTATGTTATATTGAATTATTTATCTAATTTATCTATATTATTAATTATATTATCGTAAATGTATGTAGTACAAATAATATTATATATATGTTATATGTTATTATACATATATTTATTATATATTTACAAATTTATAAATATAATATAATAATACATAAATACTCCATTTTATACCGCATCAAAAGGATCCTAAAGATCCAGTTATAAAAATATTGGTGCCTTCCGGTGCTGTTGCCAGGGTCCCCAACATGGCCCCAGCATAGCCCGTCATACGTCCAAGATAGATTTTACATGGTCCAACGTAGGCCCAACAAAGGTCCTTTATGGCCCAAAAAAGGTGTCTCTGGAATGAAAAAATCAACTCCAACCGAAAACATGTCGGTTGAATATCATGAACAGGCCGAAGGATGTGGCACGGGAAGAACGAAAGAAAACACAGGGAGAGAAAACTGCTCGGTGAGACTAATCTTGGCAGGAGACTTCAGCATCCGTCTCCTTGAACTCAGAAAGCCTGGCAGTGCTGGCACCAAGTGAATCTGAAGGTGACCGAGGAAGGTCCTTAGGATCGGGATGGATGGCCACTGGCAAAAAAGTCGCATTCATCACACAAAGTCAACGAGCCAATCCAGCGAAAGTTCCCATCAAGGAACCAGAGTAGCCGTCCCAAAAGACTAAAGGAATAACGGAATAACGACATTGCAAGATAAACATCACTGAACCCTTGGGAGTCTGACCAGACAATGGCAAGACTGAGTCAGACTGAGAAAAAAATTGCACTTCAGGCAACGTGAACCGGCATGGCATGTCAGACAATAAAGTCAGCGGGTGCATGGAGGTGTGAGAGCACACGCAAATAGATGGACGAGGCACCGTTGCATTCGCCACGGCCAAACCAATCCTGATGCACTTGACACTATGTGATTGGCATCCATGGTCCGTGGTCCATGTGTTTTGCCCTGACTTGTCTCAAGATTGAATGGAACAAATTAGCAATTTTCTCGCCACCAGGAAAATTACAAGAACAAATGCAAACGAACTCGTCAAATAATTACAAGGAATTTGCCAGGCACGAAAAGGTGAAACCAACAAAAACGACCAGGGACCAGGGTTGAACAGATTTCAGCCCAAGAACCCATATTTCAAATATTTCTCTATAATATAGTAAAGTATGGTCTGGTCAGTATAGTAGCCACGTTGACATGTTGGGTGCTTTTTCGATCTTATATGTTCCGAATCATATTCAACTTACATTGGCAGGACAAGGTTCCCAGTGGGCGTTTCTTCTCCCACTTCTCCATATTCACCGTCGGATGAACTGGAACTGCTCTCGTCGTAATCACAAGGGCTGCTCGAAGCGCTCTCGCTGCCCATGTCAGCATCCAAGGACATCAGCGGCCTGAGTGGAAACAATTCATAAGTTTGGAAACAATTCACTAGTGGAAACAAGTCACAGAATGTTGGGACCCACAGATAATAAAAGCACAAGACTGGACACAAACAGGAATCCAATGAAAACACATCTTTGCAAACACTAACATGAAAAGCGGGGTTGGGGTCCCGTTGCTCTCTTGCTGCCAGTGAAACGACATATTCTGAATTTGGACATTCCGAAGCCATACAGGCAAGAAACCTTCCCTCAGCGTCTTTGGCCAAAAATGCCAACGTCAATCCCATGCAGCAAGCTCCCACGACTGACGATGTCATGGAATTGCCGGCCAACAAGTTGTAAAGGCGGTAATCCCGTTCCGTGTACACCATGTCACGGCAGTCGATTCCTTGCGCGGCCAACAGCGCCTGCACAGGGTCTTTCAAGGAACTTTGACAAATCACTTCCTTGACCTTTAACTACTTGAGAGTAGTAGTACTAATACATGCTGGCTGTCTCTTATTTGTGCACCAGTGGATCACTATCAACACGACAAGTCTTGTCTGCATGCCACTGAATGGAATATGTGCCACAGTGGTTCAGCATGAATTATCTAAACTGGTCCACCTCAATCGCCCATGGTGGAAATCAGAAACGCTACGCAGCTCATAAACAAGGCTTTGCCTTGACACTATCACTAACTCACAACGCATGCTTTGGAGCTCCTTCCCGGTGGTGGTACCTTGCTCAGCCAAATCAAAATGCAGCAAGATGGCTGCAGGCAATGTCTACGAGTGACATTATGGCTAACCAAAATGACAATGCATTGACAATGCTTGATAATGGGAAAAACCTGTTTGGAATTGTTTGGACATTGACATGTCGTTGGTTTCTTTTCACAACATTTTTTGCGCCACGTTGGAAGGGAATGCCAGCAGAGGCTGAAAGTCTACATAGGATTTGTTTGGTGGTGCCCCTTCTGGCCCTGTTTTGGACCCAAAAACACTTTAGAGAGAGCACCCCTAGAAAATGACCGATAATAAGGGCTTTCAACCCCCGTTGGTGAAGCAGCATGATTCATGAAATTACCCTATAATTCCAAGCGGACTATTGGCAATAAAAGATCAAGCCGAAACACAGGTGCATGGTTCAGCGTGGGCTCATCTATCTCGTCAATGCTTTTCGGGCCACTTGTGCTGCTTCCACTGCGGGGAATAGCTGCTTCTAAATCACCTCCACAATGATCGAGGTGCAATTTGACATGGAAAGCTTTACTTCAGTCTTGAAAAACACCTGAAGACTGCAACGTTGATATTCAAGAATATTCCCCGGGGTCTTGGAGATAAGCTGGATAAGAAGGTCGCTTGCCCATGTGCATTGTGGACACTGCCCAAATTCCAAAATCAAATATTATTCCGACGGCTTGTGTGTAATTCTTTCTGGATGACGGCGTTGCGACAAAGAAATTTCTAGCAAACAAGACTGCTGATTGCTCTATACTGTTTTCATCGGTATTGTAAAAGTCGTAGCATCACTGAAACACAAGCATCTAATGGAACAATGTCACAAGATTCGTACTGACCACAGACCAGGCCTGAACTTGCACCAGAAGATTCGTGACGACTCCTCTTTAGCTCTGGGTCACTTGCGAAAACTTCCGTTGTGCTAGTCCCTCCTGGTGAAGGCATGTACCATGGTTCATCATCTGAATCTACATGACCTGGGCTTCTGTGAAAGCAAGCTGATGATGTCAAAAATAAACTTGAAACCCTGCCAGTTCAGAAAAAAAGGATTCTACTTCCTGTCCACTATGTTTTTGTTGGATGCTTTTTTTCGGTGTTTGCAAACTCAATGATAGAAATGCAAACACATGACATGATAAACTGCGGCCAAGAAACAAAAGGCACGCTTGCGAGACAACTGATGCGGCTGGGATGGCATGGCTGGCAAGACTGCGCTGGACGACATAGCGAGTTTGACTAACAGTCACTACCTCTCTCTTGTCTCACACATTTTTGAAAAGTGTAGGGTCACCCAAACATCAAACATAACACAACCCGTTGTACTGGAGAGTTGTGAAGGCGACCCGGGTTGTGCCAAATGGCTAGATCGGTCGTCGCAGAGCCAACTGCCACCACAATCTTCCATTCTATTCGGACCAGCAGGAGATTAGAAACGAGGCCTCTTTCATCCACTGGCTCTCTCTGCCTACAAAATCCTAATTTTGCACGATCATTCTGGTTGACCGGATGTTCCTATACTGTCTCGATATATCGTGTTTGCTAAGCTGCAACATGCTAAGCAAAAAATCCAAGAGTTTTGAGCACAACAAACACAACTTGTTTATAGAGATTGAAGTATTTTATATTTGAGATATCATGATATCATCCTCAACTCCACAAAAAAGGCCAATGTGAGAAACCCAACAAGAAAAACACGCCAATGAAACAAAAGCCCGGCCATTCCACGCCTCAGCAGGGAGGAAATTGTGTCTCCCGAGGTGCCACAACTTCATCTGACAGCAAAATGCGGCTCCAAGCCCACGAGGATATGATCCCATGGCGTTGATCGAGGATCCTCAGTTACCAAGTTGCAGCGAGGGGGCACGTAAAGTGGAAGGGAAACCGTTCACAGTTGACACTCCGTGGCCAGGCACGTGCCACATCAACATAAGCATCTCTTGGATCTACTCCCGCAACCTGAGCCGCTTGTCAAACGAGAAACAAATTACAAAACTACAGGATGCTGAAAGAAGGCAATGGGATCACTCTTCGTGAGAATGTGGTTTTTTTGCCCCTCAAATGTCTTCAAAATCCGTTCATGTTGCCCCTACTTCCCCCAACATAGACCGATTTGTGGCCCAACATTGCTGTATGATAGCCTAAGACCCGATAAAATTTGTTGATCTGCAATATCAAACAATGATCATAGAATGGACTTTTTCACTGCTCCCCAGGAACCGAAGTGAACTCCAATTAGCCCCCTTTGGTGATGAGAATTCAAAATTCTGGTCAAAAATTGTAAAATATCTTCAACCCAAAGTTACCTAAATCAAGAATTAGAAATTTGGGGGCATGCTGCTGAGACATATTTCGCAAAATTGTGTGCATGATTTGCAGCCCAAAAAACATGAACAAAACCAGGGCGGTGACAAGTGTAAAGATTTCACCCAGTGAAAAACCAACCAACTTGAAAGAGGAACACATTGCTCAATGTTCTTGGGCAGAAAAACCTTTCAACATCAAATAAGATATTATATACACTCTTGGTACTTGACCATATGGGTCTGTAAGTTGGGAAGAAAAACATACAGCATACAAACTCACATCTATATAGTTCGGGGCCCCTAACTGGAAAACTAGGTGAAAACAATACTGCGGTGTAAATTGATGAATGTATATGCCTGTGTGCTTATGTCTATGGTTGAACAGCAAATGCACATTCACAGCTTTCATGCATGTAGTTTGGATGCTGCGAAACCAACGGTAAAACATGTGAAACAAGTTTACTAATTTTACACATGATTTGATGATTTTAACTTGTGTTTGCTTAGTACTATTAGGTACTCAAAGATGAAGATGTGCATGTCTGTCGACACGTTGTTGAACATTGGTCCGTAGCATTGTTGATTTGGTAGTAGACATTGCAACCAACAAACATCTTATCACATAGATTAGCTTGGAAACTTGATAAACATACAACAAAGCTAATGTAACTTTGGGGGGCTCCTACGTCCTTGCTCTTCTCCGGTCAGTTCTGTTCTGTCCTTGCTCACCCATCATTCGGTCAGTTCAGACATCACTCTCTGTCACCTGCTCCACAGTCTCACACGTACAGCTTCTTCAAGAAGCTGTTAGCCCAAAATGGGACTGACCACAAGGGCCCGCTTTGTGCCTTGCTTCTCCATGCGCCTCAGCCTCATGCAGCTTGCACGCAAGTAAACTTGGACTTGGTGGCTGCTTGTTGCTGGGTGTCTTCGAACGCACAACCTTTGTCTCGGCTGTCATGCGTTCCAGATTGTAGTGATCAACCAGCTGGTCTGTTCCAGTCGCCCAATGCACCATTGGCAAAGAAGTCGTCGAAAAAAACGTCACCATTCTTATTATGATTATTATCATTATCACTATCACTATTATTATCATTATTATAATTATTATCATTATTACTATTATAATAATAATTATTATTATTAAAATTATTATTATTATTAATTATATATATATATAGTCGAAGGAAGTTTAGAAGTAAAACTTCCGACAATATGGACAGATGAAAAGCAGAGCAGGGCAGAGGCAGAGAGAAGAGAAAGATTCGAAGAGAGAAGATCAGAAGAGAAAGAGTCAGAAGAAAGAAGATACAGATGCGCGAAAAGGTAGGAAAGTCGCGATTCACTCTGTTTTTCCAATGATTTGTGGCTCAGGAGGGTCGAAAAGTAGGCTGTAGGCTCGCTAAAGCGGCGGGGGTGGAGCCAGCTGGACAGATGAGAGATGAACAAATCGCTCCAAGTCAAAATGTACAAAACACACCACCTTCGCTTCACTAGACTACATGACATTACACTACACTACGCTGCACTACACTACATTACACTACACTACACTCCACAACACTACAGGTTACAACTACAACTACACAACCACACTCCACTACACTGCACTATATGACACTTACTTACACTACACTACATTACACCACACCACATTACACTCCACTAGACTACACTACACTACACTACCTTCCACTACACTTCACTACATACACTGCACCACACTCCACTACAACTACAACTACACAACTACAGTCCACTACACGCCACTACACTAAATTACACTCCACTACAGGACATTACACCACACTACACTCCACCACACCACAACTACAACTACACACCTACACAACTACACAACTACACTCCACTTCACTCCAATACGCTAAATTACACTCCACTACACTTCACCAAATATAGACTGATAAAAAGGAAAGCAGGGCAGAGGCAGAGAGGAGAGACAGATCAGAAGAGAGAAGAATAAAAGCAAAATTCTCAGCAGAAAGAAGATGCAGATGCGCGAAAAGGTAGGATCGCTAAAGCGGCGGGCGCAGAGCCAGCGGGGTAGATGAGATAGATAGATAGATAGGTCGGTAGATAGATAGATCGATCGATAGATAGATAGCACTGAACACGTAGATAACTAGATAATACATAGAAGATAGATGGTCAGGTAAGTCAATGGCCAGAGAAAGAAAATGAGAGAGCTCAATGGCCTTTCGGTCCAGCAGTGGCTTCGCTCTGCTAATCTCAGGCACGAAAACATTACAACGGCAACTCGCCTCCGCTACACTCCACTACACTAAATTACACTACGCTACGCTACGTTACACTACACTACACTCCACTACAGTACACTACATCATACTACACTACACTACACTACCTTCCACTACACTTCACTACATTACACTACACTGCACTCCACTACATTACAACTACACCTACGACTACACAACTAAGACTACACTCCACTACACTAAATTACACTACATTACACTCCACTACACTACATTCCACTACACTCCGCTACACTACATTACACTACATTACACTACACTACATTACACTGAATGACACTGCACCACAGATAGACAGGTAGACAGATAGATAGATAGATAGGTAGACAAGAGTGAGAGAGATCAATCGCCTTTCAGTCCAGCAGTGGCTTGGCTCTGCCATCCCTGATTCACAACAACCAACCTCTCCTATAGGTTTCCTATTTTTGAAACTTCCGCCACCGCCTTGTGCGGTACTACTGGTATATTATAAATATGCGTGGTAGGTCAGCGACAAGTTTCAGTATTTGGGTATATCATATCTCATATAGTATGTGTGATTCAGAAACTTTTCACGCCACGCGTGAAAGTTAAAGGATATGGTATATGTATGTATGTAGTTTTGAGTTGAAAGCTTGTAAGTTATAGTTTTTTAGTTTATGTAATAAGCTCAGTTATCCTTTAATTTTTAAGGCACTTAAAGTTGAAAACCTAACTGGTGGCTATAAGTCCCTCCATAAGTTGTCATAACGATAGAATCATTCAGTAGTTAAAGGTTATGCAAGAAGTTTAAAGTATAAAGGTAAAAACATTATCTTGTAAATTATAGGTTCCAACTAGTAAGTTAGGTTTAAAATGTGAAAGCTTTTGCAAGGAAGTTTAGGTTACAAAGTTTGGAGTTGTTAAGCTCTAAGCAGCTGTAAATTAAGCTATAGTAAGTTATATGATATTTAAATGATTATGTTATATTTTATCATATCAACAAAAAAATACTAAATAAGTTATATAAGTTAAGTTAAAAAAATGCAAAAACATATATTAAAAAACAACTATTTTTAAGGTTCTGCGGAACGGTTCGGAACGGTTCCGGGGATTTCCTCGGAACGGTTCGGAACGGTTCCTGTGACCTCCAAAGTTCAGGAACTATTAGGAACTATTAGGAACGGTTCCGGAACGGTTCCGGATTTTAAGCCTACAGTCCCAGGAACGGTTCGGAACGGTTCCGGGGACCTCCTTAATAGAGCATATTTCTCACTTATATAATAGCATATGTTCAACTTATATAATATATAATATAATATAATAAGTTCAACTTATATAATAGCATTAGCATGTTTGCACTTCTTATATACTGGCATATCTTAACTTTAAAGAGTTTGAACGAAATAAGCAATACTGAAAAATACTAGTCACCATTCAAAGAAAGAAGGAACAAAACATCATAAGCAATGATGATTTCAGCACAAGTTAGAACAGATTCCACCGAACAGTTTTAAAGACAGGCTAAGAAACTTCCATTCTTCTGAACTCCACATCCAGCTTAACCTTCTCTCGCGTGTTAAGCATCCCTCTGTCCTGTCTGCTCATGGTCCTGCAGTATGGGCCCCAGCCACCAGGAGCCACATCCAAATCGCGGAGCAAACTCTTCTGCTTCTTCTCGGACTCCTTGCTTTTGTACCCTTGGTCCTTGGAGCCGGTTTTGAAACTGGGGCTTGGGAAGGACCAGGAACAACCGACCTAACCGACCTCGACTGTGGAGAAGAAAATCTGGTTTGAGGAACCCTCCGGAACCGTTCCGAACCGTTCCGGAGACCAAAAATTGGCACGTAGAGCTTTCCCTGTGCCACGAATTCACTGTGCCAAGAATCCCGTGAGTAACCAGGCATGGACAAAGTCGACCCACTTCGCACACAGTAGTCCCAACCTGAGAGTATGAATCGAGTAACCTATGAACATCAAGGACCCCAAATCACCCCAATACTAGCTATCTGCTGTATAGACTTTGACAAGCATCGAGTCGTGGCCGAGGAAACTAAACTATTGACAGCGTTTTTTTACTTTATATTTATAGCCTACCACTGATGGTTTGTGAAGGGGAAAATCACATAATCCCAGCAGCATGAACACATTTTAGAAGCCAGCTCTGTGTGCTCAAACAAGCATGGACAACTTACCAATCCTACCGTCCCAAAAAAGACCTAACAGGAACCTGCATCGTTCGCTGCAAATTAATATTGCTTGTAAGATGGGCATTGCGTGATTTATTGCATGAAAAAATTGGTATTCCGGTTGGTTTGGCACCCCAAAAAAGGAAAACTACAGGAACAAGCTATAAGAAAATCTATAGGAACAATGCCATGGTGCCAAGCCACCAGGAAAATTACAACCTCATTGTCTTTTGGAATTTCACTCGAACCATTTCAACCGCATGTGGATGTTAAACATTTTTTCTGGGATACATGCTCATGTACCTTTGGGTGCCACTGCATGATGTGCTTGCACATGCATTGCGAATGTAACCGTATGCATGTACGTACTATGTATGTCAGTATGTATTGATTGTATATCTAAAAATGGGGGATGATCGAAAATATCTGGAATTTGTTGACTTTGGACTATTTCGAGCATCGCCCATTTTGAGAAACACTTACTATACCGACTATACCTGATATCTGTATGTAATGTTTCTCTATGCGATGTATGTAAGTCAAGTAGTGTGGCGCAAGTGTAAGTGAATGCGGAGAATTATGAATGAAAACATGTTATGACATTACATCAGACTAAAAATTTCAGGGATACATTCTTGCGAAAGAACTCTTGGAGTGACACTCTTAGTAAGACACTCTTTGTAAGACACTTAGTCAGTAATTTATTACCACTCTTAGTGAGACACTATTGGAATGACACTCTTGGAAAAACACTCCTTTAATCATCCAGAACCTGACAACAGGTTTTCTGTTTAAAAGGAAGGGTCAGGTTTACCATGGTAAAGCATTCCCACCCCCTCGAAAACAAAACACTGGCAGCCGGATCCTTACTGTCTTTTTGTCTTTCACTCAAATTATTTCACCGCATGTGGATGTTAAAAAGGTATCTTCTTGCATACAAGATTATGTACCTTTGGGTGCCACTGCATGATGTGCTTGCACGTGCATTGTGAATGTAACCGTATGCATGTACGTACTTTGTATGTCAGTATGTATTGATTGTATATCTAAAAATGGGGGATGATCGAAAATATCTGGAATTTGTTGACTTTGGACTATTTCGAGCATCGCCCATTTTGAGAAACACTTTCTGTATGTAATGTTTCTCTATGTGATGTATGTAAGTCAAGTAGTGTGGCGCAAGTGTAAGTGAATCTGGAACATTATGAATGAAAACATGTTATGACATTACATCAAACTAAAAATGTCAGGGAGACATTCTTGCGAAGAAACTCTTGGAGTGACACTCTTAGTAAGACACTCTTTGTAAGACACTTAGTCAGTAATTTATTACCACTCTTAGTGAGACACTATTGGAATGACACTCTTGGAAAAACACTCCTTTAATCATCCAGAACCTGACACCCCGTTTTCTGTTTAAAAGGAAGGGTCAGGTTTACCATGGCAAAGCATTCCCACCCCCTCGAAAACAAAACACTGGCAGCCGGATCCTTACTGTCTTTTTGACTTTCACTCAAATTATTTCACCACATGTGGATGTTAAAAAGGTATCTTCTTGCATACAAGATTATGTACCTTTGGGTGCCACTGCATGATGTGCTTGCACGTGCATTGTGAATGTAACCGTATGCATGTACGTACTATGTATGTCAGTATGTATTGATTGTATATCTAAAAATGGGGGATGATCGAGAATATCTGGAATTTGTTGACTTTGGAATATTTTGAGCATCGCCCATTTTGAGAAACACTTACTATACCGACTGATATCTGTATGTAATGTTTCTCTATGTACTGTATGTAAGTCAAGTAGTGTGGCGCAAGTGTAAGTGAATGTGAAACATTATAAATGAAAACATGTTATGACATTACATCAGACTAAAAATTTCAGGGATACATTCTTGCGAAGAAACTCTTGGAGTGACACTCTTAGTAAGACACTCTTTGTAAGACACTTAGTCAGTAATTTATTACCACTTTAGTGAGACACTATTGGAATGACACTCTTGGAAAAACACTCCTTTAATCATCCAGAACCTGACAACAGGTTTTCTGTTTAAAAGGAAGGGTCAGGTTTACCATGGTAAAGCATTCCCACCCCCTCGAAAACAAAACACTGGCAGCCGGATCCTTACTGTCTTTTTGACTTTCACTCAAATTATTTCACCGCATGTGGATGTTAAAAAGGTATCTTCTTGCATACAAGATTATGTACCTTTGGGTGCCACTGCATGATGTGCTTGCACGTGCATTGTGAATGTAACCGTATGCATGTACGTACTATGTATGTCAGTATGTATTGATTGTATATCTAAAAATGGGGGATGATCGAAAATATCTGGAATTTACTGACTTTGGAATATTTCGAGCATTGCCCATTTTGAGAAACACTTACTATACCGACTGATATCTGTATGTAATGTTTCTCTATGTGATGTATGCAAGCCAAGTAGTGTGGCGCAAGTGTAAGTGAGTGTGGAACATTATGAATGAAAACATGTTTTGACATTACATCAAACTAAAAATGTCAGGGAGACATTCTTGCGAAGAAACTCTTGGAGTGACACTCTTAGTAAGACACTCTTTGTAAGACAATTAGTCAGTAATTTATTACCACTCTTAGTGAGACACTATTGGAATGACACTCTTGGAAAAACACTCCTTTAATCATCCAGAACCTGACACCGCGTTTTCTGTTTAAAAGGAAGGGTCAGGTTTACCATGGTAAAGCATTCCCACCCCCTCGAAAACAAAACACTGGCAGCCGGATCCTTACTGTCTTTTTGACTTTCACTCAAATTATTTCACCGCATGTGGATGTTAAAAAGGTATCTTCTTGCATACAAGATTATGTACCTTTGGGTGCCACTGCATGATGTGCTTGCACGTGCATTGTGAATGTAACCATATGCATGTACGTACTATGTATGTCAGTATGTATTGATTGTATATCTAAAAATGGGGGATGATCGAAAATATCTGGAATTTGTTGACTTTGGAATATTTCGAGCATCGCCCATTTTGAGAAACACTTACTAGATACCTGATATCTGTATGTAATGTTTCTCTATGTGATGTATGTAACTCAAGTAGTGTGGCGCAAGTGTAATTGAATGTGGAACATTAAGAATAAAAACATGTTGTGACATTACATCAAAATAAAAATGTCAGGGATACATTCTTGCGAAAAAAACTCTTGGAGTGACACTCTTAGTAAGACACTCTTATTGAGATAGCTTTTGGAATGACACTCTTGGCAAAACCTGACGCCTGGTTTACTTTTTAATGGAAGGTCAGGTTTACCATGGTTTGAGCTGGTGGCCGGATCCTTGATACTTCTTTCGGTGTGGTCTAAAACAGTGGTGAACGAAAAGGTCTAGAAGATCTGTTGGAAACATCCTTTGTTCATCCCAAAATTGCGGACCAATTATTTATGTTGAGTCTTCAATGCCGTCACAGAAACACTACACCTGGCAAACTAGCAACATGTTAAAAAGACTATCAGACTCTGTCTTTTCATCTTGGGGGTCTCCACATTTTTGGAACTGTCAAAGCGCCCTCAAAGATATCGACGCTAACACCATCGGAAGCAGGCACAACCTGTCGATCAAACAGTGAAAACAACATTGACACTCAAACTTATAAGGCAACAATTTCAAGATAGGAGTCCATCAGTGACATATAAGAAATCAATGGGACGAGGGTGTGAGTCTTGGTCTGGTACTGAAATCGCTATATGTTGATTAAGAAAAAATCCAATGATGACTGCCAACATGTCTGCCGAGCAAGTTAGAGTGAAAACAATGTTGGAAACAATGCAACAGAACGTCCATTACAGCAGAACATAAAGGGTCCCTTTCTTGGAGACACACAGTAGTGCAGCTGGCAAGTGACACTGTGTAAGTGTGCACCGTCTGTGGACAGAAGCGCATTCCTTCTGAATCCAGTGGCCAAGTTTCCGCAAGGTGCGCTCATCTCCAATATCATTGCGAACTCCAAGGATGTAGCAACGTCGACGATGGTTTGGAGAACCAAAGTCAGAGCTCCTGGAGTTGCAATGAACATTTTCTGACAAGGTCTAAAAAAAACATGTCATTGCCTGGTAATGTTGTGCTGTTGCCTGGTTGCCATGTAGTTGTTTCTTGTTTTTGTTGTTGTTGTTGTTGCTGTTGTGCGTTTGTCTTTCAAAAAAGGGTTGTTGTTGTTGCTGCCGCTACTGCTGCTGGTGGTGGTGGTTGTGAGTTGCTGGAATCAACCCTCAAAGTATCAACGCATGCTATTATGGCACTTGTCTCCAGTTGCTCAAATTGCAAACGAAGTGCTTCAGCACCAGAACCTTCACGTGATAAAATTTGCCACCATCCAGCCTCGTCATGCAGGACCACAAAAAAATGAACACTACTGAAATGCACCATGGAAGCGATGAGCAATTTTGAAAGGGGCACTTGCCAAGAAACTCGCACATGATGCCTAATACTTGATCTCCAGCTCTTCCGCGAAGAAAAACATCAATTGGGGCCTTGGACTGGCGGCGTGACACTGGGGCCACTGTGGTCCCAATCATGTAAGCCCACCATGTCTATGGAATTCTATGATGGAATTACATTTATTCAGAAAACTAAGCATCATAGGAATCATAGATGATGTTGACCAATATCGGCCCATAGGCCCAAATTCCATATTTTGAATTTTATTTGGTCAGCGGGATATAATTATCACTTATCATTGAGTCAATGTGTTGAAAAAACATATCATTTTCCATGCCTCACACCACATAGGAATCGCAACGAAGATACATGTTGCATACTGAACCTGCAACCAGTACTGTATACTGAGTTTTGATGCTGACTACAATCGTTCGGAACCAAACCAAGTGAGACAAAACTGAATGCAATGAACCTGTTTTCGTGGTGCACGGTCATTTCCTAGAAGTTCCCCGAACCTTGAGTTCATCTTCAGGTTTGTCTGATCAGGATTCAGGAATCAGGGTTCAGTAAAAGAATTGTCTTGCCCTAGAAAGCAATGATTGGCATGGAGTCCTTTATGCCAGTTGCCTTAGGCAAGAAAATGGTTTGGCTGGTGAAAACTCAGTGTTCAATGTTAATATGAGATGTGATCTGATATATGAAAAAAACATAGTAATTGAAGATAAACAAAAGTTGGTACTTGCACATGTCACCCTTGGCTTCGTATTAGCAACAAAAACGCTTGAATATGAAGAATGTCAGAATGTCACATCAGTGGTACTGTTTCAACATAGCAGCGACTAACAAAAAGTTGCTAAGTACTGGTGGCATCTGGCGGGCATCCAGTGTTCATTTTGGAAATCACAGATCGGAACATATAATATTACAAGTCGGAACCACCGAACCAGAAATGAAATTCAAACAACGGAATGAGAAGGATGCGGTGTTGATACCCCTTTTATACGACCACACACCCCAAAGAAGCCTCACCTTGTTTTTTCCCTGGAATCTGGAATGTTTAAGGCTTCCGCTAGAGCTGCCTCGTCAACACTGATAGTTGCCTTCGGGCCTCTTGATCAATCTCCGGGTGGCTCTGCAACCAAGAAAAAATAAAATTCCGTGCCTGCTCTGGATCACCTCTTTGATTTGACAAGTAATTCGTGAAACACGAAAGGTGGGTGTACGAGTGAAATTTCTTCAAGCTGTACGCATACCCAAGTCTGATTGACTTCTTTTCGATCTTATCGTTGCACCCTTTGCACACAGCCAAACGCCCATGGACTTGAAAGGATATCTCAACGAGACCAATGTGTGGATTGCATTGGGTTTTGGCTCGGTGTAAACTGGCCACTGGGACATCCTTTGATGATGGACCTGCGCTGGCCTCAGGGTGGCTTTCAAGCTCAGCATGCTCCTCTAGCACCCTGCGTGTCTGGTTCTCCTCCTCTTTACGCACGGGATCAGCAGGAAGTTCTTCTCCCTCACTGTCAAAATCAGAGCTTGAAGTGTCACTGCTGGAAGATGGTGTGTCACTGATGTTGTCTTTGAACTCAGATTGATGGCCAAAGTTCGATAGCAAAGTCTCCATGAGTGATGATGTGTTGGTACCTTGTTCATCCTGCAGTGTGGAACTTGGTCGTGAAGCCTTGGACTTGGCTGCCCCAACTATTCTGCGACGTTTGGGTTTTTGGTATGTCATCCCGAAGGGCAAAGAACAGTTCTTTCGCTTGTTGGCTTTTCTCGGAGCAGAAGAAGTCAGCACGTGAGAAACAGCACTCTCAGGAAAACATCGGGCATTCAACAAAGAGCCAATGACTGGAAAGTCGTACTCGAAGACACGAACCGTTAAGGCACTCAAAGGGCCACATTTTTGCAAAATGGTTTGGAAAATTTGGTGGCTTGTGAGCCAACTCATGCACTTCGAAACAGAATCGCAGAAAAACACTTGATTTTCAGGGCCCACAGTAACTTCCAACAAGACCTGAAGCCTTGGCTTCAAAATGGCTGGGCCAAGAATGAAGTTTCGTCGCTCACGCCCAACCTTGATCTCGAACAATGAGCCAGTTTTCAAATCGCCTTAGTTGAGTAATGGCACGGCCATGACTATGTACAATAAAATCTCAGAAGTCAAACACATTTGGACATAACTCAGATAACATTTTCTTTCCCGTGGATCAGTTGTACACACAAGCCCTTGCTTCACTTTTTGAATCTTGCAAACCCGGGCCAATTGCAATAACAAAGTGCTGAGAGGAAAAGGCCAGAAACTATGCTGGATGTAGAAAACATCAAACAACCGTTTGGCTGCAGAATCACACCTGCAAAAACATGTTGATTCTCTGACTGCAAAACATGAATTAGAAATTAGAAACGTATGATATGAGAAACTGATTGCTGAGCGTCCATTTGTGACAAGCCGGTGTGAAGAATCAACGTATTTCTTCGCAAGCGAAGTGTGCACAGCTTGTTGACAGTGACCACACAATGTGTGACAGACTTGATCATGAACGTCTTGTGAGTCAGCATCTTTCTGCCTCCAAAATTGGTTTGATGCCTCCTCCTTGACTGCAAACATCCACTTGTCAAGAAGTTCGTCGTCTTTCAATGTCAAATTGATACGGTCCAGTTCCAAGCAACCTTCAGAAGAGGCAATGCCCCCATTCCAAATGGCCCAGTCTGGGGCCTGTTGAAATTGGCGATAAGTTTCCACCACACGGCTCTTTGAAATCTTCTTCTGCGCTTTCAAACCTAGATCTGCACATGCATCCCAGGCTGCACCCCCCAAAGGAGCTGGCTGATTCTTGTTGGAAGGAAAACATTGCTTTGCTGCTTCCCTCCTCAGACCTGTTTCGACACTGGCTTCAGCGGAATATTTTTCTTTCTCCTCAGGAGAACAAGCTTGCCATGACCGAGAACATTTTTTTTGCTCAGCCTTCCACTTGTCAGTAGATACTTGCCTGCTTTCGAACCACTTGCGCTGAAAAACGTTCCATCCTGACACGAAGAGACACGTTGGAGCAGGATTTGTTTATTGTATTATATTGCTAAAGTATTGCTAAAGCTGACGTGTTCTGTTGACTTACGAAAGCAAAACTTTATATAAGAATCTAAGAACATTGATTTTGATTTGAAAAGTGTGATGTGGTTCAAATGTTTGTGTCTTGATGACGGAAACAACACAATCCCAAATTGATCTAGGCCGCCGTTATGGAGAAATTGTGCCCTAACACCAAGGGTCCGAGATCAGGGCAAGTTTATTGTCTATTGTCTTTTGTCTATTGTAAAGAAAAGGTACACTTTTCTTACTTACTGCTTACTTTTAAAAAACAATGAAGGGATATGGGTCGTTGGAGAAGACTGACTGACTGAATGAATAACCGACTGGCCGACAGACTGAACGAAGGAAGCAAGGAATGAATGAATCCATGAATGAATGAGACAATGAAGGAACAAGTGAACGAGCAAATGACTTACTGCAAGGTAAGTCTACAAGAAAATGCATGAATGACCCAGTGAGTGCTCACAATGAGATAAATTGGGGAGTCGAATGAAAAATTCGATGACCGGGTGACTGGATGAGTAAAGGGATGAAGGAGAGACTCCAGAGACGGACACATCGACGCATAGCGCAGGAACTAGTGCAAGTTATAGTTTAGCTATACGCTGGGTATCAATACAGTATGAGTGAGGCATAATTCAGAGTCAGAGTCATAACATAAGTGCAAAATTATAAGTTGTTATATGTAGACTTTGACATAGGGTTATCGTCTTGGCATGGTGACATTAAGGTGTTCTTCCACACTACTACAGTACTACTACCACTACTACTACTACTACAACAACAAGTACTACTACTACTACAACTACTACTACTAAAGCTACTACTACTACTACTACTACTACTACTACTACTACTACTACTACTACTAGTACTACTAGTACTACTACTACTACTACTACTACTACTACTACTACTACTACTACTACTACTAGTACTACTAGTACTACTAGTACTAGTAGTACTACTAGTACTACTAGTACTACTACTACTACCACCTAGTACTACTAGTACTAGTACTAGGACTAGTACTAGTACTAGTACTAGTACTACTACTACTACTACTACTACTACTACTACTACTACTACTACTACTACTACTACTACTAGTACTACTACTACTACAACTACGACTACTACTACTACTACTACTACTACTACTACTACTACTACTACTACTGCTCCTTGAACTAAGACTTCAGACTACATAGTAGTAATAAATGAGCATCATCATGTTTATTGAAGTAATCAAAAGCAAAACATGTTGAAAAGAAAGTCGAATGAATAAATGACTGCGAGAATGGGGAAAGAAATGATAAAAAACGAAAAAAGACAAGGACATGAATACATGTCCCATGTAGGTCTTGAAACGGCCATTGAACCTTAGGCCTTAGGACTTTGGCCGTTTTCTTTAGCAACTTGTGTGCATATTGGTGATCGGGATCTTTGCGGATTTGATGAAAGAACACACACTGACACACGATACATTCTAAACCCCAGGCCTGATAATGCTTTCGGGCCTTTCGCAAATTTTGCAGCTGATGAACAAATATCACTCAAATTTCTTTTGGAACTCCAAACAGATCCGGCAGCGCCCTTCTTGTACTTGGTCTCTTTCGAAGCCTCTTTGCTGGACGATTGGTTGGCACCAACCTTGTCATATCGATGCAATCGATAGTTGAGTTTGTAGTCACCAAACTTTGACCAAACATGTTCCCAGAATTTTTGATAGCCAGAAACAATACTGGCCCAGAGAGTCAGCTCCTGGGCAACATCATCAGTGGGCTTGCACCCTCGAAACCGATGGCATTTGGATTGTGTAAAGCCGTGCAGGCACTCCGTGATGTCGGAGGAAAGTGGGGCGTAAGTAGCCAAATCAACCAACAGCGCCCTCAGAGAATCAAGTTTCGTAAGGGTTGCACGATCCAAAGGATCATCGGATCGTGGAATCATGTTCAGCACAGGGTGACTAAATTCAATATCACAGCATCTTGGACACTGAACCTTGAGGTCTTGAAATCTTCGATACATCTGTAGAAATTCTTCATCTGTATTTGTCCCAAGCAAATCCCATAGCTTGAATGGAAAGCATTGGCGCTCAAAGACAAACCTACGCCAAATCTCCCCCATCACCACAATGCTGCCAACAAATGCTTCCATCCTCAGACCAGCAAGACCTATGGTGGAAAAGTTGTCAAGTTTTGCAACGTACTTCCTGAGCAAGTCGTCTCCAAAGGATCCATTTGCATGAGCCAAGAAAATGGATGTGCTCCTTCGGCCCACAAACAGGAATGTAATACAACTGACCCCGGGCGGGACTGATGAACATATAATTTACAGCCACTGACAAGTCTATATAAGAAAGTGACCTGAATCGCATGATAACGATACGGCGATACAAACTGTACCAAAAACATTGAAAACATTCAAATAAAGTGACTGGGTTGACATTTGTCACCATTTGATGAGCATTCCACATTGAAGCGATGGAGGTGTGAGACAACAAAACGTTCTACCAACATCAACCAAAGCGGCTTTGAAACGAAAGTGGCCCTGTCCGATCCTTAACGGAACATTATTTTGCTCCAACACATCTCCATTGTCATCTGGAATGTGACTGATACTGATATTACATCATATGACTACTAACTATATCTTACATGATATTACTTTACTATTGTTGAAAATATTGAACATCAAAACCAACATGACAGAATATATTTATATTTATATTATACACTGTTATACACTTTTTTGTTGTGTGATGTGCGTTTAGTTTGTACCAATTTGAATGTGTGCTTATTCGAAAGTAGGTCAAGCATTAGCCACAATTAGCACACATAGCCAACAGAGGCCCACTGCCAACTCATGGGATTATACTTGACATTGCCTCACGAAATTCCCAAAATCGGACCAACACAGGCCAAACATCGCACCAGCATGACTCCCAAAAGGCATCTTATATTAGGAAAAATCATTTGGCTCTTGAAACTTGAAAATTGCATGGCTCAGGATAGCTCAACATAGGCGCAACATAGACCCGACAGCGCCACATGTTTACAAGCAATGTTGAAGGCAAAGTGAATGTTCATGATGGGTGCCAAATGATGGGATCATTCAGGTCCCTGATATACCAAACCTTGCCTGACCAACATCATTCCCCACCTGCCAGGTGAGGGTTGTTAGATTTTATGTCAGTTGCCTCGTCTCCTCTCCTCTCCTCTCCTCGTCCTCGTCTCCACGATCATCCACGCCCAGTGTTCGCTGCCGGACCTCAACCACGATCATCCACGCCCAGTGTTCCCTGCCGGACCTCAACCACGATCATCCACGCCCAGTGTTCCCTGCCGGACCTCAACCACGATCATCCACGCCCAGTGTTCCCTGCCGGACCTCAACCACGATCATCCACGCCCAGTGTTCCCTGCCGGACCTCAACCACGATCATCCACGCCCAGTGTTCCCTGCCGGACCTCAACCACGACCATCCAACCTCAGTGTTCCCTGCCGGACCTCAACCACGACCATCCACGCCCAGTGTGCCCTGCCGGACCTCAACCACGACTATCCACGCCAAGTGTTTCCTGCCGGACCGTATGTATGAATATATGGGACAACTTTGAGCGAAGGTATGCCAGATAAAGTGCCAGAATGTTTGCCAGATAGAACGCCAGGAAGATTTGCGAGATAGAATGCCAGATAGAATGTCAGAAGATATGCCAGATAGAGTGCCAGAAGATATGCCAGAACATATGCCAGAAGATATGCCAGGTAGAATGCCGGAAGATATGCCAGAAGATATGCCAGATAGAATGCCAGATCGAATGCCAGAAGATATGTCAGATAGAGTGCCAGAAGATTTGCCAGTAACAAAACGTATAATGTCATGGTGGGGATCACTCGAAGTATTTTTTTTATAAGCCCGGATCTATTGATTCAATATTTCAACACCAAAGATCATAAACAAATAGGCATTGAAACCCCACAGATCAAACAGAACCAGCCCATAGGTTAGAGCTTGGAAAAAAAACACGTGCTAAGGAAAACCCACCATCCATTCTATATCTTTGGCTGGTCCCGGCACAAAAGATTGTGAGCCCCAGGGTAGGCTTTCGACAAACACCCCTTTCCCAGGATTCTGTCCTGGAAACAAGTTCTTCACGTTTATTCGTGTCCACTTTGTCTGACAGCCGGTGAATTTCTGAGACGGTCCCCGTTCTTCTGAGCAGCTCGTCCATGCCAGCGACAAGAGGAGACATCAGGTATTCCATCAAAATTGACTTGGATGCAAAATCATCTTGTCGAAAAGCTGCGAAGGTCATTTGTTTTCGTTTCTGACTTATCTCGGCAGGGCTCAGATCGTCTGTGTTATGAACTTGCAGCAAGCGTGTTTCCCAATCTTGATCATCAGGATCTCCTCCTACAGGTCCAATGTCTTCGGAAAACAATCGGGTGAGCTCATCCTCTGTGTCTTTGTCAGAGGGGTCCGCCTGGGCAATCTGTTCCAATATACGAGGCAGCAAGTTGTGAAGTAATGTGCCTTCCTTCACATACTGCAGTGCAGGGTGTGCTTTCAGCCACCTGTAAGTTAGAGGAACTGCAAAGCCGTGGCCAAACAAATTGAAATATCCCTTTGCAACTTGAATGAGGGCGTGCTTCTTCTTCTCTAGTAACGTTTTGCCGGAACAACATGTGCCCAAACAGTAATGGGCAATGTGCAAGGAAGAAGGGTCACCATTGTCGTACTTGAAGAGCTCATGGTAAGCAGATAATCTCGAAGCTTTGTACGAAGGATCTTCATTCAAAAGGCCGCTGGATCTGTTCCGTTCATCCTGCCATGCCTTGCTATCATTTGGCATTTCGATCACAGGGATCACAAAGAATGAAGAGCTGATAATTTTGAGTAGGCATCGCTGAAACTGTCGTCGAAACGAGTGCGCCTCAAAGAGGTGAGCAAGCCGGACTATCGCCGACCAATGTCCTTTCCACTGGAACAGCAACGGTTTCCGACAAAGAGTGATCTGATGCAGCGAGCACCTGATACTGAGCAGTGGATAAAGGTTGCCATTGCCAGGTGGTCCTTCCTGATGCTTGAGATGGGAAGCATACCTGAGCCCCTTCAAGACTGCCATATTCGTTTTCAATGAATCCCAGCAAACCACTAGAACCTGCACTGGTATGTATTGGCCAACAGCATCCCTCATCTCAGAGGCAAAGTTTGTAAAGCGAAACCATCGCTCACCCATCGCCCCAAGCCAAATAAAGATCCAGCTGCAAAATTCACGCGCCAAGCCCCATGTGTTGGCACGCTCAAGAGGAACCATTGGTGTGTGAACAAGGAATGTGCGATGGGAAGTCGCCACGTTTCTTGCCGCTTGACAATCGTCCGGTGCAAAACCTGCTGGGGGTTGATCATTGCCACCCGATGTATCTATGTTGAAGATCACCGTTTGCACGTTATTCATTACAGACATGACTCGGCTCACACGTGACCTGCCTGTTGACTTGTACGGGCATGCCAGCTTCATGTTGGTATCGTCCACAACAGAAACATTGATGACGTGTCGGACTTTGGCTCTACTGTCGTAGAAACAGGCAATGATGGCTTGAATGAAGGAATTGAAAAAAGACCACAGGAGTCGCAGGCGACGAAATCGAAATTTCTTCAGAAAATGGCCTGGTTTGGTAAGCTCTGTGTCTGCGGTCAAATCTTTCTTGTAGCTGTCAGCCGCATGCACTGGAAAATCCAAATCAGCAGCCTTCTGTCGCCTTCTACGAGCTGCATTGAGTTGTGACTGCGCTCGGGCTTTCTCTGTTTGCAAGCGCCTCTTTAATTTTCGTAATTCCTCTCCCTCATCACCTGACTGAGATCCCTGGGAATCGGAGTCCTCAGACTCGTCAACTGACCCAGATCGTGAATCACCACTGGAGCTATCTGATGAAGAATCAGAATCAGAAACGGCACTATTGCTTTGGCATGCCAAGTCGAGAAAAGACATGGGACGTCATGACAGTCTGAGCTGACCGTCATGGCTTTCTGGTGTATTAACTGCTGGGTGGTTTTTTGTGGAATCAGACACTGAAGTGCTTTATTTGAGAAATTCAGCAGTACACTTTGACCGATGTAGCCTTTAGCCTTTACACCATATATTGTGAATCTATGTCAAGGAAAAGGAAACCATGCACTGCCAGTAGAATAAAAAATCGTAATCATACAATGCCCCAGACATAAGATTGATGAATCACAATTTTCAAATGATTCAAATGAGATTGACAACTGCGGGCTCTGTCATCTCTTGATTTCTCCCAGCTGAACCAAAACAGAGCGCCCCATGCAAGGACTGACGGAAGCATGTGGAAGTCGGTGAATTCAGAAAAGAAAGGAAGTAGCAAGACTGGTCCATAACTCGCTGCCAGTAATGCAACCAGGCAAAATCGACTTTGTGTCCAATTTGATTCTGATGGTTCATGTGTAGCTGATCATGTCTCCAACAGGACTTGCACACAAGACTTTAATAGAACATGTTCAGAATCCTGTGCTAGATGGAAATGGCCCTGGATATGCTGGGATCCGCAATTGCAAGAAAAACAATGTTCCCACATCCTGTTTCTATGGGCCTTCAAAGATGGAAACAAGGTGCCAAAAGAAGACATCCGAATAGCCTCTTTCACCCAAACAAACACAAATCGACAATGTTCAGGCCGAAAACATATATTTATGTATATTGCCAATATTGTATAATCATAAGTCATAAGTCTATATTAAATCATATTTTTATATCATATCATATCATATTT